AAACTTAAACGGCTGTGTAAGCTGACGCTATACAACACCAGAAGCGCAGTCAGAATTGGGAAGGACTTCTCCGAGCCGTTCGATACCAAGCGAGGTTCCAGACAGGGTGACTCCTTGTCGTGTGATTTCTTCAATTTGACGCTGGAGAGAATAATATGAGCTGTAGAGCTGAATACAGAAGGTACAATCTTCTATAAGAGTGTACAACTACTGGCGTACGCCGATGATATTGACATTATCGGCCTCAACAACCGCGCCGTTAGTTCTGCTTTTTCCGCGCTTGATAAAGAAGCGATGTGAATGGGTCTGGTTGTGAACGAGGATAAGACGAAATATCTCCTGTCATCAAACAAACAGTCATCGCATTCGCGACTTGGCTCCCACGTCACTGTTGACAGTCACAATTTTGAAGTGGTAGATAACTTCGTCTACCTAGGAACCAGCATTAACACCAACAATAATGTCAGCCTTGAAACTCAACGCAGAATCACTCTTGCCAACAGGTGCTACTTTGGACTGAATAGGCAATTGAAGAGTAAAGTCCTCTCACGGCGAACGAAAACCAAACTCTACAAGTCCCTCATCGTTCCCGTCCTGCTATATGGTGCGGAAGCATGGACGATGACGACATCTGATGAGTCGTCGTTAGGAGTTTTCGAGAGGAAGAGACAGCGAAGAAGCAGTGGCTACGCTGGCTAGGCCATGTGGTCCGGATGGATGCGAACACTCCAGCTTTGAAAGTTTTCGATGCAGTACCCGCCGGTGGAAGCAGAGGAAGAGGAAAACCTCCACTCCGTTGGAAAGACCAGATAGGAAGGACCTGGCTGTACTTGGTAATTCGAATTGGCACCAAACAGCAAAAGAAGAAACGATTGGCGCAATGTTGTTAATTCGCGTAAGCGGTGTCGGCGCCAGTAAAGTAAGTAAGTAAGTAAGTTAGACCAATCCTATTCTACGGCGTTACCGTTTGGTGTCCGGCACTCAATAAGATTACTTTCAGGAGCATACTAGAGAGAAATCAACGATCGGCTGCTATCCCGTCAACAAAAGCACTTCCACCAACTCCATCGAAAGCTGTGTTAACTCTTCTCAACACTCTTCCCCTGGATCTATACGAGAAACTACGAGCGGACTGCAAAGCAATCAGACTGAATGCGCCTCAATCCTGGAAGAATTGCATATGGGACACACCAAAATATTATCTCTTACAGAAGTGCCGAAGGAGATGGTCTACACCACCTCCTGTATGTGTTTCGAAAATCTTTTCTTCACGAGAATCCCAATCAGGTACAGGTACCATCTTCACAGACGGCGTGAGACCATCAGATCACTGTAGCGTCCAGCCGGAACTCTTTGCAATTACAGCGACTGCTGAGTGGTTCCAGGAATCTAAGGCAGCAGGACAATCGGTTACAATATACTCCGACAGTCAAGCAGCAATCAGATCTCTTAAATGTAATGGGTACCACGTCAAAAGTGGCCATAAAATGTAGGAACTTTCTCAACACACTCTCCACTAAATAAAGCACTGCCGTTGCCTGGGTACCTAGACACAGAAACCCTTCTACCCACGATAAAACATGCACACGATGCTGCTTTATCTCTGTCCACGGCAATGTACATGCTTAAACTGGACAAGCTAGATGGTTGAACGAGATCACGTGTAACGTGACCAAACGGCTATGGCCGAAGCTGGAGGCGAAAATATCTTAACATCTTATCCTTTTACACCGGCTTCCAGTTAAATGAAAAGAATATCACTCTAAGATCTTTGCCGCAGCTGTAGGCCGGCAGGACGAAGAAGGAGACAATCGAGAGACACAAGTTCCTTAGGAAACATTTCTGTCTCGCTGAGATAGCCTTAGCGAATATTGGAAATCTCGTTGCCTTTATCAAATCTTCTGAGAAGACGAAGGCAGGAGACTTAACGGTATCACAATGGGCCCATTGGCCTAAGTGTGCTGGTAGCAGCAGCGGCATCAACTTAACTTAATTCTCTTCAAACTAAACGTCCAAATTGCTCGATACTAATTTTACTAGGATTTTGGTTTAACGTAGACGATGCAGTGAAGATCAGTGAAAATTGTTACTGCCCAAGTAGTCGCCGAATAGAACTAAAACTCAACACATCCTTGCTAACAGATGCTACGTTGCATATCTAATGAGTTGATATTAGGAGATTTTGAGAGAAGATTTTCGCATTGGCAACGGCGTACAATGCAGACGATTGCGTTGCGAGGTATACGATGATATTGACAAAGCTAAGCTAAATTAATAGTGAACAACTGACAGCGGCTACGCTCCGAATATATTAAAGCATTCCAGCTTTCAAAGTATTCGATACAGAAAAACATTTCTGGGAGCAGGGGAACATGAAGACCTACAACCCGTTGGAAGGATCGGAAGGAGAAGGTTCTGGCTCAACTGGCTTTCTCTGATCGGCATGAAACGGCTGAGAGAAGAAGCCACTGACATGGTGTTGGTGACTCCTTGAAGTGGTTTTCATTTAAGAGAAGAAATTCTGAGGGAAGAAAAATGTTCTGTCTTAACTGGCTTTCTCTGATGGGCATGAAACGGCTGAAAGAAGAAGCCACTGACATGGTGTTGGTGACTCGTTGAAGTTGTTTTCATTTGAGAGAAGAAACTCTGAGGAAGGGAAAAGGTTCTGTCTTAACTGGCTTTCTCTGATCGACATGAAACGGCTGAAAGAAGAAGCCACTGACATGGTGTTGGTGACTCGTTGAAGTGGTTTTCATTTAAGAGAAGAAACTCTGAGGGAAGGAAAAGGTTCTGTCTTAACTGGATTTCTCTGATCGGCATGAAACGGCTGAAAGAAGAAGCCATTGACATGGTGTTGGTGACTCGTTGAAGTGGTTTTCATTTAAGAGAAGAAACTCTGAGGAAGGGAAAAGGTTCTGTCTTAACTGGATTTCTCTGATCGGCATGAAACGGCTGAAAGAAGAAGCCACTGACATGGTGTTGGTGACTCGTTGAAGTGGTTTTCATTTAAGAGAAGAAATTCTGAGGGCTCTGCATTTCAAGGTAAGAACCAAAATGAAATACAACTGGGCTGGTCAAATAAACTCTTGAGTGTAAATATTTGGATAAGGTTCAATTGAATAAAATAAAGTTTTTAGTTAATTTTGTACAATTATTTTATTTGTTTGTATTTCTTGGTTTTTATTATTTCAGTCAAAAATTTTACTAAAATCATAATTCGAATTACGAGATTTTCGCCTTACGCGAAATGTAAGAAACTAAACTACGTACGAGTAGGTGCCTACACAATATACATTCCTAGTCATGAAATATTATAATTAATGGAATTAACACTTTTGAATACACACAAAAAATTTATACATACTTTTATAATAATAAACAATTTACTTTGTAAAATAAACTTAATTTCCATATTATTCAACTGTTTGAAACGACTTACGCACACGTAAAACACATACGAACTTATAGAAATTTTCAAAACTTTTATATAAAATTTAAAATTATGTACATGCATACATATGTATGCATTTCAATTGTTTTTTTGTTTTATTTACAATGAAATATATTAATAAAAGACATTTCAAATTTTATTTTCTTTTTGAATGCTAAAACACCAAACCTTTTTTAATTGCATTGCCCCCAGCGCGTTTTTTTATTTGTTTTTATAATAAACTATGATATATTTATGTATGCATTTATTACTTAAATAATTGATAAAATTAAATTTCGAAGATATTATTATTATGTATTTTGAATGATTTGCCGATAGATGTGAGAGAGAGAGAGAGTTTAAAATCAACTTGAATATTTATTGGAGAGTTTTGAAAATTGCTTGCTCTAAGTTTTCGGTTTTTTTTTTGTTTTACGGTTTTCAGTTGTGAAATGATTAATCGTTATATATTCAGTGTATATTTTACTATTAATTATTATTGCATTTTTCTCGCTTTCATTTTGCCGTTAGTGTCAGTCTTATAAAATTGAACTTATTTTGTGGCGAATTATGAACATAAAAACATATTAAAACTAAAAAAAAAGAAAAAAAATTAAGCTACAAAATATAACGTTTAGTATTAGATGCATATGTATGTATGTATGCAAAAAAGACACTACAATTATGTATATGTATTTGTATATGTATTAATAAAAAGCACATACATACATGTACATAAATCTGTATATGTATGTGTATCTTGAGGTAGCTGTAATTATGTAAATTTACTTAACTATGCATGTATGTATGTATGTATATATGTATGTAACTCATTCTTTATGTAAAATTCTTTTGCATTATTGAGTCATACATAAATACAGTTAAAATAAAAATGACTTAAATTTACATTAAAATTTTTCGTTTTTAAGTTTAATACATAAACTAATCTTAACATATTATTTTATTACAAACAAATCACTGGTATACAACGTAGATAGAGATGTACAAATAGCGTAGTTTTGAAAACTTCCTTTCGCTTCTTGCAAACTCATACTAAACATATTTAATTTAATTATTGAAATATTTTCCATGCATGACAATTTTTCTGCTTCTACAGTTTTTTAATGGCATTTCTTTTGTAATGCTTCCCACTTCAATTTTCTAAAATTATGATTAAAATTAAATTTAGTTTTGAAAAAAAAGAAACCTGTCACTTAATGAATTGCAACTGTTTTTGAGCATATAAATTTATTGTAAATTCGTCCATAGACTATTTTATTGAGCCTCTGATAATTGCTATTTCTCGATGCACTCTTTATCAGCTTCTACGTCAGTGCAACTCAGTCGGTCAGTCTTGTGTTTGGACAATTTATTTTCATAATTTTTATTTTCGAATTATTTTTTCAAATTGTGGTTTGACAAATGATCATTATGATCCATAAATTTGTCTGAGCTTAATTGTACTTGTTTTACTGTTATATTGACTCCCTTAAATACGCTTATATGTATTTACTTTTATGATATTAAACCTATAATTAAGTGAAGTGTTTCAATTGTTTAAAAAGTCTACTTTTAGGCACAGGGTGATTCTGACAACAGTAAATTTATTTTCTCTATTCTCTTTCCTCTTTAACAAAATAAGTCGATTTTAAGGAATTACAATGGTTGCTATCAACTATTCTTAATTTTTGTTTGTTTGTTTGTTGGTTTGTTTTTAATCAGCTGTTTAATAATAATTAAACAATTATGCACAGTTAGGAAAGAACGGTACATGTTTCTCAAATGACACCAATAACAAAAAAAAAGTATTTAAAACATATGTATTTACTTAGTTCACGGAGAAGTCCAGTTCACAACGCGTCGTTTGACATGCGCCGCCAAATATTGTGGAATTTATTTAAAGTTTCGTTCCACTACTAATTATGCTCCTACTCTCTGCTTCTATTGCACCGCTGCAGTAAGGTAAAAACTTGTTTACAACTAAATTTGAAATAACTTTAGGCATATTTTTAACATAACTAGTTTGAGGTTATGTTAATTCCACAGTTCTCGGCTGCCTCTCTCCGTTCGCAACATGACACGCAAAAGAGACAGCACTTAACGGCTCAAAAACAGCGAATCATAACACGTATCGGCTGCGTAGTGCCACGCCATTGATAGCATTAATCAGTCGTTGCGTCCATCGTCTGTGCTGATGATTTCTCGCTTTATCGCTGTCATGGCTGTTGCCGCGTCTAAAGCGGCGCCGGATTCATTGATGAACTCCTCGTTGCTATTATTGTCTGCCATCGTTAAGCCGTTGCTACTACGGCTCGAGCAGCGACTATTATCGCCTGGGTTGAGTGCGTTTGTAGCGGTCACAGCCACTGCGGCAGCGGTTGCAAGCTTTATAACACCACTGCTGCATTCAACTGCTGTTGGTTGGGGTATTGTTGCTTGTGTAGCTGGTGGTGGTGGCGAGTATGATGGTGAACGTACTCGCCTTTGTGCCACCGCTACAGGTTCAGGCGATGTGAATTGTCGGCGCGTTACAGACAGATCTTCAACGTGTCCAGTAGTCTCTTCGTCGTCGTGCGAGTGTCGTCGATGGACGCGTTTACGTTCACGTCCTCTCTCCCGTTCATGTTCCCTCTCGAAATTGCGCAGACGCTTCCTATCGCATTCACGTTCATCGCGTAGTTCACGTTCGTAGTCTTGCTCACGGTCACTTTCGGTTGCCATTTCACGCTCATGCTCTAACTCCTGTTCTAGGATACGACGTTCGTTTACACGACTACAATCGACATCACGATCTCTACCACGTTCGCGTTCCCGCTCACGATCGCGACCACGTTCTGGTTCCATCGCATAGTCTTGTTCACTTCCGCGTCCATATTTTCGACCATAATTCGGTGGGCTAGGAGAACGCATTACACTCGACCCGTTCGGGCCTGGACTGGTTGAAATACGATTTGCTGCAGCATGTGCTGCTGCTGCTAGCAACAGAGCACCTCGTCCGGCAATGTCTCCTCCACGGCTTTCCAATGCCTGTTGCAAGAGCGCGTGATCCAATAAGGAATGTGGCAGCTGTGGTGGTATATGATGGTGATCGGCACGATGGTGGTCTTTAGGTTCACGGTCATCGTTACGCCCTTCATGTAGCGATGACATTAAAGGCTCTGCCCCATAACCGTGTGGATAAGAGAAAGCGGCGGATGAGTCTACATTACTGGGACTACGTTTCATGGTACGATTCATTGGCCGGCCTGTGGTTATTCCCAGCTTCTTTACTTTGTCGTAGAGTGTACGCGAGGGTACACCGAACTTTCGTGATGCTTGAAGCGCACTCATCCCTTCCCGAACACATTGAATGGCGGACATAATATCGCTACGTGTATATTGTTTATAACGTTTCCATTCCGGCTTCTGATTGGCATTAGAACTGAATCCACTGCCAAAATTACCCTTCGCGTCGTAAGCGTCATCGTCAAACGAGCGGTCAGTGTACGGCGAATGTGGTTCGTCGTGATATTTCTGTGAAATTTGCATAATTATGAATAAAATGTATGTAAATCTTTCAAAATGGATAAATAATGTAGAGGCAATATTGACGTTTTATACTGACCTTATCGTTGCCATAATCAGCTCCGTTAAAGTGTTGTCCTTGGCTGTTATTGTGTGCACCCATTGGTCCGGTATGTGGTGAGTTTTTGTCGGCATTCGATTTGTCCGACTTGCTGGCACCAGGTAATGAAAATGACATTGGCTGAGATGAGTCGGCGGGATTGGCCTGAGCCAAGACATTGCGTAAGATGGGGGTATCACGGTTCATTAGCATCGAAGTCATTGAGGAAATCTTTTTACGCTTTAGTGGGTTGTCTGGTACGGAGTCGTAGACAGAGCCTAACATGCTGACAGCTGCCGATGGCGATAACGGCCATTGACCATGTTCCTGATTTGATGGTTGAGATTGTGAATGCGTTGGAGTTTGAGGTGCATTGGCTGATTTTGTTTGCCCTACACCGGAGCCATTGCCGGCGGGACCAGGCGATTTGGAATATAGATTTGAATAGGGTGACTTATAATTAGTATAAGGAGGTGAAGAGGTACTCGAGGCTGCAGCTGATGGCGAAATGTTCGATGACGTTGAGATCACGGATGAGGAGTTATGCAGTGAAGGTATTGGTAAATCCGCGCCATGATGTTCCTTGCCATTATGCACGCCGCTGGGTAGGCCCTGTGCAGAAGATGAACTTGCAGCCATGGCGTAAGGCGCCGTCAGCGCTGATGTGCTTGCTGCCGTATAGGGATAACCATGGCTGGCTCGGTCTGCATGCTCTTCACTCAATTTATTGAATTTCTCCTTCAGATCGGCCATGTCAAAAAGACCCTTCACCTCTAACTCCTCGGCGATACGCATTATTGTGGGTATTTGACTTTGCGTTACATTTACCTCGCCAGTGTACATATAATCAAGAAGTGCGCGCATTTCAAATTCCTTGACACCGGGAAAAATAATGCTGCAATGATCCATGGGTACATCCTGCAGTATGGCCTGGAAATATGGTGAATTGGCGGCAAGCACTACTCTATGCGCTTTGAATTGCACTTGATCATCCACAACTATCGTGCAATCGACATAGCTTTCGACCTTGATTAGAGCATCGAGAATCTCAACCAGATTGGATTTATGATTATTCCATCGAAGGCAATAAGTTTGACCCTCAATGGTCGGTGGTAGTGGAGGGTGTGGACCACCCATGACTGTGTATGTAGGAACTGGTGCGGCGTTAGTTTGTGGACTGGAATTGCTACTGGTTATAAATGTAGACGCGCCGCAACTTGAAGTCGCTGACGCCGCCGGTAAGGTTGATTGTGCAGACGATGGCGGTATGGGCGGCTGTGGTGGCGGTGGCAGCAAATTGTGCGGTCCCGGTGTAATGCCTGCAATGGCGTATGGTATGAGACTCTGAAATGTGGTACTCAGCAATGATGCCGGCAAGAGGGATGAGGATAAGGATGATAGGGTGAGGTCAGGATTGATGGTGCTTGTGAATGCGGGTTCCCTGGATGATGATGGGGATGATGAAGATGTTGTTGATGAATTATAGGTGAGATTTTTCCGTATTTTGAGAGCCAGCTTAAAGCTTTACAATTGTCTGCGGAGCCTGCGAATAGTAGTACACAGGAGACACGAGACGTGAAAAATATTTATTTTAAATCAAATTAATATTTAAGAAATACTAATATTTTTATTAACTGCTACGACGAAGTTGCGAATATTTTCGTTTCGTTTGGGGGAAAATTGAACTGAATTCTTTCTTTTATTTCAAATTTGAAAATTTCTACATCATTGCGAATATAGTATAATCGAGGTTGTCTTCAGTTTTCAGTGTAACAAGTGCCCAAATTGCAAAGTTCATTCAGGAGTATTTTTTAAAAATAAGGATTTGGAGCAAAATATAATTTTTACGTATGTATGTACACATGATTTGGTTGTTTATAAATACCTATATATATTTTTTTCGGGGAAATAAAAGAGCTCTATATTTTTAGATTTGTTGCTGATGAGCTCGCATGGAAAGGGACTTTCCTTGCTCTTTCATCGTCATTAAAGACTTTGAGCATACCTCTTTCCACTAGTAAAGGCAATGTAGGAGAGTCAGAGCTAATTCTACAGAGCATATTCTATGAGACAGGCACCCAGAGAAGTTGGTGGTGCCATCTAACGACTTCTGCAGAAGTTGCAGACAAGAAGAGGAGTAGGTTGAAGTCTCTAGGGTGGTATCACAATCGGCATGTTCGGTGGCCTAAGTGAGCTGATGCTCTGCCATCGCTGTAACCAACCAACCAATTATGCCAACTCGAAAGTCCAGATACGTGAGTATATGTAAATTAACAATCACGGGAAAATATTGAGAAATCACTTGGTTCCTTGTTGACACGGATAATGAAGGCAATACAAAGACAGATGAGCTGACTAACGCAAGCGAGATTGTCACCAACGACTGTCTTAAACCTTCTGGCGCCTTCAAATGTTGTCTTAAGCAATTGAGTGGCTCTTGAGATTTGAGAGAGGAATTCCGACACAGAATAGAGCACATTATTATTTTGATATGATTGACGAATATTGCATTAACCAAAATAGAGCTAACCAACCTTGCGGGTGTATTGACGGAGCATTTGCTCTAGAAATATAAACTTCACAAGCTGCATAGGTAACGTGGAATCAACTGAATGCAGAGAGTACACTGAAGTTGTACACTGGAAAATTATCTTAATAATTGCTACTCCCTTTGCCGATTGATGTCTTAATAACCTATAAATGGAATAATGATCCCAGTTCTAGTTTCATGGTTCATAAAGTCGAGTGAACTTACCGCTATGGAGCGCAATGAGCCTATTCAAAGACTTCGGTACGGCCGGCAAGCTCATCTTACGACGAACTAACCAACTTGCTATAAAGCCGGATGATTATGTATTCGAAAACTACAGATATCTTATAATATGCAGGGAACACTAGAATACAGCATACTTTCTCCTTTAATTTGTTTATGATAACAAAAAAAGATACGATACGAAGAATCTCTTACCCTCTACAGCTATCTCTAAAACTAATCGCTTTCAGAAATGTTTCAAAATCTTTGAAAGACTTGAATTCTTGTCCTTAAAGCAAATTTTTTTTTTTTAAAAAACTAAGTATATAGGTATATATATATATATATATATAAATATGTGATTTTGCCTCTATCAATATCTATCTATATACATATATGTTCCTCGTGCGCATATGCTCACATGTATATATATATATATGTTATTTAACTGCAACATGTGTCCATATGTACTTGACAGTTTCAAGTTTCCCCCAAACATTTTAAGATACACATGCCCAACTGCGAAGGAGTAACAAAAGGACACATGTGAAATTTATTAGATTTCAAGTGCTAAAAAGAAAATGCAATATTTAATGGATCAATTTTAAAGAAAAGGTACAGTTAACACCGGATAATGAAACACATGTGAGTTTTCGAGAATTACGCTCAAACGTATGTCCATCGGAAGAAGTATATTTATTTGCAACTGGAGATGAGGCATAAGCAGAAAAATCAATTTGAGCATTCCGTGTTGGAGTGGTAGAAATCATACGGTTTTTTGTTCGTAAAAAAAACCTTATATACGAGTACAAAAGTAGAAAAGGTCCATCCTTTCCTGATGTCAGCATCATTATCGAAATTTCCTAAGCGAATTAAGAACAATGGACAACATGTCATTATCATTATATTTTTTTTTGCCTTTAGTAAATATCTATATATATATATAATATATTTTTTATTTAAAATACTAATTAATGGCTCTGCAAAAGAAAAAAAATTCAATTCGAATTCGAACGAAGGAAATAGCCACATGAAAAAATACATTTCATAAAATATCTTTGTGCAAATGTCTAATTTTACATTTATTGCAAGTACCAGTTCATTTCGAGGTATGAGTCGTTTTCGAAAAGTGATAGCGTCTACTTGAAATATTTTCGCAGGCGTTGCTAAATTTTTTGTACTCTAAACCCAGAAAACAAAAAAAAAAACACACAAGGCAGGCAAAGAAGAAATCAACATGGCATGTGCAGGGCACAGTACGTTAGTTGATCTTTAATTTCTTTTATCGCAATGCATTTGCTGTTTGTAGATATGAAATGAATACGCAGGGCAGCAGGCAGTGCTAGCGAATTCCTATAAGACGATTACTCGAAGAGAAGAACTGCGTAGCGAGCAACGAGAAACGCCTGACGGTTATCAGTGTTGATAGCGGTTATATGTAATAGAATTTCCAAAGTGAAAACGCATACCAATCAGACCATATGCGGTATTGTGTGTGGGATGGCATATCACAAATTTCATACATAAATACATGTGAGTAAATAGAGAATTGATGAGAAGGTTTTTGCGGTTAAAGGCAGTCATACGTGTATTGTGGAAATGCATGAAAATTGGCGAGACTACATTTCATCTACATTTACACTTGCATGTAAATACATATATACATATGTATGTATGTAAGTGAAAAGTTTGTATGGATATACGACACAAAGGCGACCTATTGAAAATCGAGCTCTATTTAAATGATCCCAATACCGATCACGTTTATGATCCTATAAAACAGGACAATAGGTAAATAAATGATCTTTATTTGTCTGTCGCGACGATGGCTGCGTACGCGGAATGTTGAAATTGAGACAAGCAGAGACGCCGTGGAAGTCGTGGAAGTGCTGAGTGAAATTTGAGAAATTGCACGCAATGCAAGAATGTTTGCATTTTGCAAATAATAATGGATTTCATTATTTCTCTCAATCCTGCTTTCTGCGCATTGAAAACAAACAAAGAAAATCAACAGAAAGTAAATAAAATGTTAAATTGAATGCGTGAAAGCAGACGGAAATATAATAAGGTAAGAAATAGAACTTAAAACATAATTTTCCAATTCGACATTTTTCATTTTCATTTTCATTTTCTTTTTGAGTTATTTTTTGCAATTACGCTTTTCCTTTTGCGTTGCTTAATAAAATACCAACATTCTGCTTATATATGTACATACATACACGTATGTGTCTTTGCAATTGATGGAGGGTGCAAATACAGAAAAGACGAACGCCAGCACAATGAACAATTACAAAGGAGTTTCAAAGTAATGTAGACATACACACATACACACACATCACACAGACTGACAAGCGGTTGTATAAAGATCCCTCCGTCAGGTTGTCGGTTTATCAGGTTGACTATTTCGAAGGATCTTTTCACAAATTAAAAAACAAAAAAAAAAAAAAAACACCAACAAAGATTTTCGAGCTCTTTTATGTTGGCCTGCGAATTTATTATTGTTTGCATTGTTGGAGTTTTTGCGCAATAAATTGCAGTAGCTCACAGCTATTGTTGTATTGGCAATGATGACCTGCAGGCTGTTTTCGAATTGCGCATGCGTTTGGCCTAACCTGTGCGCTTGTGAATGCCAAACGCAGCGGGTGCAGCTAAAAATGATCAGCGATCAAATCGGATTAACTTTTGCGTGTTACTGATTGAATTGAATGTTATTTGGATGTACATATGTTTGATATGTATGTATGTTTGTATTTGGCTGAAGGAAAGAAGTCGAAACAATAATACCGATTATGTGTGTTAACACTTTAAGCAGTGAAAAGCGTTCGAATATGTTTTTAATGGGTATGTGTTTCGGGAAGAATACTTTTATACAAACATCCCAACATGTTTATTTTTGGTATATGTATTGTACATACATATGTATACTTATATAAGATAAAAAGGAAATCATTACTTCATTACCCTAAAAATTGGACATAATTTAATTTTATTTTATTTAAATTAGTTTTATTTTAATTTATTTTGCTTTGTTTTATTTTTTTTAATTACTTCTATTTAATTTTTTATTTTTTTATTGATATTAATTATAATTTTTTTATTAATTAATTAGTTTTAATATAATTTAATTTTATTTTACTTAAATTAATTTTATTTTAATTTATTTTGGTTTGTTTTGCTTTCATTTGTGTCATTTTGTGTCATTTGTTATGTTTTATTTTATTTACTTATATTTATTTTTTCTTTAATAGATTTTTTTTTTAATTTAATTTTATTTTATTTAAATTAGTTTTATTTTTATTCATTTTATTTCGTTTTGCCTTGTGTTATTTTCCTTTGTATTGTTTTGTTTTATTTTCGTAACATATTTTTTATTTATTTTTATTACTTCTTTAATTTAATTTAATTTTATTTAATTTTATTTATTTAATCTTTTCTTTTTTTCTTTTCTGATCTTTTATTATATCTTCTTATATTCTCTATTTTATTTTCTTTTAATTTTTTCTTTTTTTTTGTTTAATTTAATTTTATTCCTCATTTTTTTTATTATTTTCATTATATTATTTTTTTAATGATTTTTTTTATTTATTTATATTACTT